GGGGGATACGTGGGAATGTGCATTCGAGTTTAGTTTGGCGAAAATGATCTAAAATTATGGAATGTGGTGGGCGTTAGATATTTCAATGCGTTAATAATGATACCTACTTAATTATAATTATTGACATTCGGTAATGCGCGGCTAATATTGGCGTTCACGCTTTATCATATCTTGAGTGCGCTTATCATTATCGCCGTTGTTGAAATGATTTGGAAAGCTTCATGAACAGTAACAGTTTTGTCATATGAATTGAAATTTTGCAGATTTCTGAACTTGTAGCGGACATATACGTTAACAAGCCTTGACTATACTCAATAATCTATACTGCAGGTTTGGAAGGGCTTCCAGAATCAGTTGAATTATGATAAATCCATCGAGGAAGCAGACGTTTGGCGTGCAGTGATGTGGAACACAATGCTTATATACGCTTTCTGGGATGATAACCACTTACTGGCTTTGAATGCTGATTGGCCGAGTGGCCTCTGCTTTTATCGCGCTAGAGTTGTGCTCCCCATAAATTTATATGCATTGTAAAAAATATTTAAACGACTATTGCTTAATACAGTGCAACACGTTTTCGTACGTTTGTAAGATATTTGTCAAGATATTCTGCAATTAACTTGCATTAACACTCATGTACAACAGCCCAACAATTGGCTATCCAAGGTCAGAATCACTTATAAGTCTTATAATTATGCCTATGTTATCTGGCAACATTTCTAGTCGATTATCCAGGAAGGGATAATAGACTCAACCATAAATCGATACAAAATAGATAAGGGCTGAAAAGAAGTGGGTCCATAAATGTGATTCTCATTGTCTATCACTTAGAAAGTTATGTGGAGAGGGTCACATCGATCAAGCGTATGGAAAATGTCATATCGCTCATGTCGATATATCAGCATAAAATCGGTTTAGGAAGCCATCATAGCTAAAAGTAAATAAATTAGGTTAATCTACGTGTCTCGCTGTCGATGTCTCAGAGTGATGATTAACGTCTATTTAGGCATAACTGGACCTCCTTTTAATACTCTAGTTGAGATCTTAAAGCTACCAATTTTTTAATACCCCTAGGTGTTGTGGGACACTCCATCAATGACCAAATAGAAATCCTGCTATAGAATACTACTCAGAAATATTTAGCTATTAATGTTCACGCGAATTATGCTAGATTTATCTGATAACTAATCGCTTTGCCAAAAGGACACTTCGCTATCAATATACGTACCGAATAAACGTATTCCATGCTACACGTCTGTTTCCCTTATAGCTGGGCTATAGCTTAGCTTGTTTGGGAGTCTAGCTAGATGTTGGAGAAACTGCCATAGAGATTTCTGAGTCGGTCAGGCTTTACTAGCGTAGCGATCCGCTACAGTGTTGATTAACACAATTTTTTTCCAAGCTCGTGTAAAAATAAAATTGACAACAGTTGTGAAAGCCAAATTACTCACAATTCGAAATATTTAAAGGCATTGGTGGACTAAGATCTTGGCGAAGCCGTGACACTTTTAAAACAAGTACTTATAATTCCCATAATACCAAGTCCCTAGATTGTGAATTCGGGTTCAAATCAACAAAGCCGACAAGAAGCTATCACATATTAAGGACAAACATAGTCAGCAATCGTACAAAGTTCCATACAGCAGAAATGTAAATTTGGAAATTTTACATGAAGAAAATCGAAAAGTGAAATAGTTCATTGGAAAGCTAACCAGAATTATATTTTTTCAAAGCATAATCATAAAATCATTATACTACTAAATTACTTTATTAAAAATTTAAATTGCGGATATAATTAGGATGCATTTCGGTTGGATAGAGTTATTTTATATTCATACCTACTCGTTAAGTTGGACATTTGCCTGAATATCGTCCTATAATAGCAGTTACCTAAACAGAAAAAGCATAAAGCCTCAATTTTTTGAGCAAATAATTAAATATCTGGTTAACTCAAATAAGTAAGCAGTAACGCTGAAAATGGGAAATTTTTAGGCTGTTTTATCTGGGACGCCAAGAAAAGGTTTTAGTAAAGTATTTTACTAAGATCAAAACACAATCAATAGATAAATTATCTATTTAGAAATTAAATTTTAATTTGCCATTAGTAGATCTTCTATCTAATGAGAGGAGATATTTTTAAAATAATCAATGACAATCAAACTTTGACCTACAGAATTGCGGAGCAATTGCGAATCAAATCATTTCCTTTGTCATTTTAGCGAGAATTGTGCCGACTCGTTGAGGCATAATGGATTCCGACTACATTAATATTCCATGTGATGTTCTTCCTCTCGATTGCAAATCGTTTGATTTGCTTTCTTCAATTGAAAAACGTTATCTCTGTTTCTTGGATGAAGTTGCATGGATAGGAGGTCTAATCGACCTAATTCAACTTTCTCCCGAAGCAGCAGGAATATTCCTACTTGGACAGAGAATTTTTGAAAAGCAAACTGTGTCCGAACTCTCTGATTCAGCTAAATCAGCTCATGTCAGTGATACGGACATTTCTGCATTCATTTCGTACTTTAGTTGTATTCTTGGGAATCTCGGTAATTATCTTAACTTTGGCGACACCAAATTTGTACCTGATCTTTCGAAAGATGCCTTTACAAAAATTGTGAAATCTAGTGCTTCTTATAGTTCATCAGAAGAAGTAAGGGATATCTTTGACAAAGTTATTGACGCTATATACTCATTGCACCCACGTCGCCTACGTCTTGCTTTCGCTCCTGACGGCCTTACAACTTACTATTCGGGAAATTGTACGCGTGAAGATGCGGATATTGTTCAGGAGTATTTAAAAGCTATGAAAATTGAAGGTTACAACACACGTATAATGAAAAGTCTCAATCCGAACTCGGACGGAAAACATGAATATCATATTGCCTTTGCATCCGCAGAGAAGAAAGAGGAGATTATCACTCATCCATCTCTTCCTACCAACGCTATTTTCAAGGCATGCTATGGTGATTACCAGGAAATTATGACTCTACTCGTTGAGGCAATTGATCGTGTGAAAGCATCTGTATTGAATGACACACAACTTCGAATGTGGGAACAATATCAAGTTTCATTCCGTACGGGTTCGATTGAGGCACACAAGTTGGGATCTGAATTTTGGGTCAGCGACAAGCAGCCTACTATTGAGACTTACTGCGGTTTTATTGAGAGTTATCGAGACCCTTATGGAGTGAGAGGTGAATTTGAAACTTTTGTCGCTATTGTGGATAAAGATGTTTCAGCCAAGTTCAGCAAGCTTGTTTCTGGTGCAATGGATTTCCTCAAACTTCTCCCTTGGCCCTCAACCTACGAGAAAGATAAATTCTTAAAACCCGACTTTTCTAGCATGGACATCATCGCATTTGGAGTCTCTGGACCTCCGCTTGGAATAAATATCCCCAACTATGATGATATCCGTCAATCTATTGGCTTTAAAAACTTTTCCCTTGCCAATATTCTTAAAGCTAATTTCCAAGATCCTACTGTCCAATTCGTCCGTAGTGAAGATCGTGATATTTATGTGTCAACTGTTGGCCATTCCTTTGACATCCAAGTTGGTTTGCATGAGCTTTTGGGTCATGGATCTGGAAAACTCTTCATGCGAGATGAGAATGGATGTTTTAATTTCCCCAAAAGCGTTCGTGATTTGCTTACCGGTGGTGACATTACCCATTGGTATGAGCCAGGAGAAACTTGGGATAGTAAATTTAGTAGTGTTGCCTCAGCATTTGAAGAATGTCGGGCTGAGTGTGTTGGAGTGTATCTGTGTGATACACCCGCTATTCTCCAGCTCTTCGACTCTGATAGTAAATTCAATTCCGATGATGTTGTCTTTGTTAACTGGCTCTCCATGGTTCGATCGGGTCTGCGATCCCTACAATACTTCACTCCTGCAACTGATGGTGGTTTTGGTGGAGCTTGGGGACAAGCGCATTGTCAAGCCCGATTCGCAATCTTTAAGGTAAATACTCTCCTCTCTTTCTGTTTATTCTGTCGATGTATCATTAATTTTACTCTTCTCTATTTGTGCCCATTCAGGTGATACTTGATTGCGATTCATCAGCGCTTCGAATTGAAATGATTGAAGGAGAAGACGGAAAACCCGATCTGAGAATTCATCTGAATCGAGCTGCAATTCAATCTACAATTAAACCTGCCATTGGAGAATTCCTGAAAAAGTTGCAGGTAAGTATCTGTTATTTCATTCCCTATCTTTGTTTGGAAGTCTGAATTTTGACCTCAAGAGGCGGAAGATCATGACTGAACGAGTAATTAAAATGTCTTTAGTACAATCTGCTAGTAGTTGATATCTTACAGGTGTTCTTGTCGTTCTTATTTGTAAATTTGTCTGACCTCTTTATTTTCCAAATTCGGGATAACTAAGCAAATCCTGTTGAAACTTGATTCATTTACCTTAATTGGAGCTTAATGCTAGTGTCAAAAAACGAAATTCAATGTCCATTTTCAGTTTTCCGTATTCATTAAAAAGCGGCAAGGCTAGTTGAGGTTAGACTTAGTTGGTAACTCTTTATTCACCAACAATCAATGTGCACTCTTGCCTTAATTCCCATGGAATATTCACTTTACTGTGTAATGGATTAATTTCCGAACCATTGTTTTGCAAAATTTATTGATGATAATCTCTATTAGGTGTGCTATTATGCCTCTAGTGAGAGGTTTACGTTTTGTTCTGTTAATTAACTATTGTCAAGCAGCGAATTATTTGTTATCATTTTACATCCGCGGCTGTGTGCCAAGTTAGGGGCTACTGTTAATGCTAATTCTAGGTTTTAGATGATTTTGCAAGCTTCCATCAGTAGCTTGTTTATGTGATCAGATTAGTAGGCTAACAGTTACTATAAGTGCTCCTATCCTTTTTGTTTTGCTATTCCAGTACTATAAGAGTACAGGAAACTCAGATGAGGGTGTTCCTTTCTTCGTTGGTGCTTCCACCCCAACTCGAGAACAATTGGAATGGCGTAAAATTGTTATTCAACGCAAGAAGCCAAGGCCAAATTATGTTCAACCGGTTACTTTCCATGATACTGCAAGTGGTTCGGTCACACTGAAAAACTATCCCGGTACTGATGAGGGCATGATCCAATCCTTCGTCGATCGATACTCCGATCGTAGATGCTTTGGTCGCCGTGCTCTGAGTGCTCTCAAGGCTGTTTGGGAACGCGACCAGCAGTACTTCACCACTGTGCCCCTTTAAATTAATGGATTTCCAACCGAAGTTTCTGTTTCCCCCAATACCCGCCAGTTTAATTCACATTTTTTAGTCACGGGGCTTAGTCATTAAAAATACAATTTTTGCTACTCTGATTGCGTCGTAACTATTGATTTCCGATTGCCTCACACTCTCATGTGATCAGCATTACAACCGAATTTGATGGCCACTGGATGAATAGAACGCCGCTTGTTCTTGCATGCTCTTAGTGAACATGAGATTCTTCGGTTCAGCCATGTGAGCGTTATGTTCCACATACAGCAAGCCCATTGTTTAACTAGTTTGAGAGGCAAAATTTGTGTTTAAATGTTTGTGGAATTCATAAAATAATTTTAAAATCCACGTAATTCAACGCAATGTGGAGAGATTATGTTCACATCAACCTCAACTCTATACAGCTCTTTGCGATTTAGTTTAATGTGCAAATAAGTAAACAGTATATTCAATGTTTTAATGAATCCTCCTCTTTATGCTATTCAATACTCCATGCCAGGGCACCACAGAAAATCATCTGAACTCATATATATCGACAAAATTACTAAATAGTAGGGTAGTAGTAGTGCATAGTAGGGCTCGCTATTAAAACTGCTTAGCAAATTTGCTATTCTTGGAGTGGAGTAAAGCACTGTCTGGCAGGGCAGCAGAGCGTAAATTTATAGTCTTATGTTTACTCTTCTTGTGCTATGAAGTGCAGTGCTTGCTCCTGCATTAAGTCATCGGATAGTGTAGGAAAGTAGGTCAGTCGTTGATTAACTGACAAGTCACTAGCACGTATCATAGGATTGGTAACTTAGATGATGGTTCTGCAACGATTAACACATTTTCAATTACTCCTTACGTTTTGTAATTGCCCACAGATGAAAACAATGCTCTCGGCACTTCGAACGTCGGTGGTTTATTTTTTTGAAGCAAAACGCATGCTAGAGGCTCGTTGTAACCTCCCTGGAGTAAGTTGGTCTTCTACGAGGTTTAGCAAGTTTATGTTGTTAGTAACTAGGTACGCAATACCATTACTAATGGGATAAACAATTCATGGACTTAAATTTACTCGAAAATGCATAGCTCGCTTTCCAATCACGTTACATTTTTTAGGAAAGAGTTGACTGATCTGAAATTACATAAGCTCCCATGATGATTTATTGCACAGTAAATAATAGGCTGACAATAAAATTACGTAGCGCGTACTATATAATCGATGCTTGACTATAATCTTAGCAATACTTCAGCAGGTCCAACTGGCTTCTGATAGAGACATCTAGCGTACACTTCAGTCCCCGAAGCCGCACCCAGCTCGGTTTAATAAAAGCAGAAGGTACAGTGCTTGATACAGAACGAAGTGTTTATTAGCATCATATTGTAAACAATAACGCAGCGCCATAATTCAGCAAACATAGATACCAGGTTCAGCATCCTTGGAAGATATATCAATTGGAATTTGAGCATCCGTTAAGGCAGCAATTTCTTTCTCTAACCAGGGTTTAAGTCGTTGCGCGAGGTAGCCACGTTCAGATACCGAATGACCGGCGGTAATTATCGTGCTTCCACGCGAAACTGCATCAAGTTGATCATGGTATGAAGCCTCCCCCGTAAACAGAAGATCTGCTACTAGTGCCATCGGTTCACTCGTGAACATTGATCCACCCGAACCAGCACACACCGCTAACGCCGATACAGGACTGTCTAAAGGGCATTTTAGAGTTTATACTTAAATTAAATTCAGTAGCTTCAATTAATTACCCTGAGAATCAATCAATACAGGCTCTCTAACTAAATAAATACTAGCTATTATTGCACAAAATTACATCAGTCAGTTAGATTAAACGGCCTGGTAAATTGAATTAGTAAGTACAAATAGTGTACTAGGTTGTAATTTGAATGGAATGAACTAAGAGATTAAAAAATTACTTTACCGAAGGTTTTGCCATAGCCGAGAGCGACTTTAAGCAGCGAGGTATCAAGAAGTTTCTTGAAGGATTCCACTACATCATTAATCGTATGTCCCTCGTTAAGGAGTGCAATACGACCTGCACCTTCATCGGGTGAAAAGACCTACAACAAACACTGTCTATGGAGGAAACAGTGAGCGACTAAAGTGAACTTAAAGAGGGCAAAATTTACAACAGAATCCCCTAACTTCATGTCAAGGCACTTAGGAGCGTCTCCAGTTACGGTAACTTCAGACATTTGCCCATAAAGAGACCTAAGTCACATAATCGAACGTTAACACAAGACTTACGGTATATCGCTATTCAGTGGGGCAACATTATTTTCAATGCAATATTCCTGAAGTGATCGGTTTTTAATGAAGGTGACTGTGGGTGGATACCTAGATAATTTTGTCCCGTTAAGCGGCTTCTTATGCTTAAAATCTGGTAATTGTTAACATAATTAAATCGAAAAATACCGAATGGACTTAGAAGCCAATCATTTAGTCCACCTGAAACGGCGTCTAGCGCCGTATGTGGAGAGTACACAGCGATTTTGTTCTCAATACACTTTAAAACTATGCGTTCCTTGGCTGAATTTTGATTCAGTCGCTTAAATGGACGAAAAATGGGTGGATGGTAGGCTATTATAAAGTCTGCCCCATTGGAGATAGCTTCATTCAAAACTGGTTCGGTTAGGTCATTGGTGAGAAATATCCGCTTTATAATTGTAGCAGATGATGGCTGTATAAGGAGACCAACATTGTCCCACGATTCTGCTAGAGATATCTTAAAAATATGATCCAATCTTTTCACGAATTTAGCAAACTCCATAACAAAGTAACAAAGTAAATCAATAACACCCCTTGACTGAGAGTTGATATCGTATGACCTTGAGCAGATTTCGTTTAATAAATGAAGCAATCCACTAGCAGCAGAAATTTACATAGTAAAATAATTTTAGTCATGTTATTTTAATCAAGTATCTAAACACTAAATGTTTGATTAACTATCTTTACTGGAATAAACTTTTTAATGTATTGACATTGACCAATTTCAAAAAGACCAGTTCGTTTGTCCTATTATAAACGTACTATTTCCTCATCAATCCGATTTTTTCCACAGGAAAATATGTGGCGATGTTCGTACAATAGAATTTTAAAAATCATGTACTAAATCGTGTGCTACTACTGCATGACACAAAATTTTATTGTATCAGATTTTTACGTTAACCTCGCTAAGTAATGTGAATATACTGAGTGTTGGCAACTTTAGGCTCTTTGGCATACGGCTCTATTTTTATCCTTATTTCACCTTTATATACTATAAGGATATCAGCTCTTTTTCTGAAAACGTAAGTAAGGAAGAGTTAACTATAAACTTAGTGGAATATATTTGAATTCAGTATTATCCATTATGTTACATATACGGAAAGAAACTGAGTTTTTATGAATTTATTATGGGCGACCAGAATTGGCAAAGCTAGTTATTGTATGCTTGTCTGAATGAAAATGAAAATAATCGAATCATTCGGAAGCAAATTCTATCCCTGGTATATTTATTTATTGGAATAATCAGAATTGCATTCAGCGACTTCAGAGTTCCAATGATTATGTATAACTGGTGTACAAAAATAACAACTTGATAAAGCTTGCAAGGAGTATGACTCTCGCGTGGCTGAGCCAAAGGATCTCGTGGATTAGAACATGGAAGAACAAGTGCTTTGTTACTATTCCTGTAGCTAATAAGTTCGAACTTGATACTGATTACGTGAGGGAGTATGAGAGGTCGTAAGTGCAGAGGCCTCTCAGACAATCAACATGGCCAAAGTAGTCAAAATTGACTAATCTTC